TCCCCCCGAGCCCCGGGGGGGCCCTCGCCCCGCCCACTTTCAGCCGTCAGCGGGACGCTCGCGCTCGCCGAGTCGACCCTGAGCTGAGGGCTCCGCCCCACGATCTGTGTCGGCCCCCTTGGGCGGGGGCGTGGTCACGTCCCTTCCTCACCAGGAGCCTTGACTCCCCCTCTGGGAGCCCCGCCCCTCCCCTGTGGGGACCACAGCCCTCCTCCCCCGGGGCCCGCACCCCCTGCTGGAAGCTACGCCCCTCCCGCGCGGGACGCACATCCCCTCTTTGCCGAAAGCTACGCTTCTTCCTCGTGGGGATCACGCCCCTCCCGTGGGGAGCCGCACTCCCTCTTCATTGAGAGCCATGTCCCTCCTTGGGGAGCCAAGCCTCTCCCTTTGGGAAGCCACAACCCCGGCCCCTTCGCTGGGAGCCATGCCCCTCCCTCGTAGTCTGGCGACTGCAAGTTAAGAGGATGCGGATTCCACTGTTGAACCCTGGAGGGCAGCGCTGTTCCAGGTCCCCATTGTCATGCAAGTGGTGGTGACCTGACAGCGTGTCTCTCTGATTCCACTGGGATGTGACAGAAGCCCTGCCTGTGTCTCAGAGCTCTTTGGAAACAGTTGCTTTGAGCCTGCAGACTCGGGACTTGGGCTCCCTGGCCTGGCTGCAGACCAGAGTCACCCAGGGATCTTGAGAAGCAGATTCCTGGGCCTCCCGGACGCCGGACTCAGTGAGTCTCGGGGGAGAGGCCTTGGGGTTGATGTCTCCCAGTTGTCCTTGTGTGTTTCTGGTCCTCCACCAGGTGTGGGAACCACTTTGTCATTGGTGAAGGAATCTGGGCTTCGAGAAGCACAGTGACCCACCAGGCGACAGGAGGTGGCCGAGCTGTTGCTGGGACCTGCACCTTTGCAGCTGAATTGGAGGCTTTTCCTGCCATGCTCTGTCTTGTCCCACTGTCTGGATGAAGAGAGAAGAGTTTTGCCAGAAAACGCCCCCTTTCTCCTGTGTGCTGATGAAGCATGCTTCTTGTCCCCCACAGGTTTCACGGGGAAGGGTACCAGGAAGGCTTTGAAGAGGGCAGTAGTCTGGGCATGATTGAAGGAAGACGGTATGGCACGGTGCATGGGGCCAGAGTTGCATCTGAGGTATGTGGACACCCCCACTTGGAATCGAAGCCTCTGTATTTGCAGTTTGTCCTTGCCCCAAGGCTCCATGCGGCTGGGCCAGCGTGCCAGGCCCCCCAAAGTTGCAGGGCCTCCATGTGGGAGGTAATGGACAAGGCAGAACACAATGGAGAAACAGCTCTACTGCAGAACCAACAAAGCGTATTGCTACACAGAGAGTTACTCTGTGCGGACCGGAGACGGGAAAGCTGGTCCTTGGGCTCCTCAGGTGACATCGGTGGAGTGTTATGGTGCTGTCCTGCGTCTTAAGCCAGCTGGATCCTCACCCAGAGAACAGGGTGCCACTGTCATGCAAACACATTCCATGTGTGTTTGCTTTGAAATTCATAGAGTCCATGATTTTTCTTTCCTTCCTGCCCTTCGTCCTAGACTGGCCTTTACTCACAGATAACTGGCCCCAAGCGGCAGAGTCCGAGTTGAGGCACTGTGCCTGTGTAGACAGGTGACACCATGAAGCAGATCACAGCAGATATGGGTTTGAAATAGCACATACTCACCATCTCACACAGTTTCCAGGGGCCAGACCTCAGGGGCAGCTTCACTGGTGGTTCCTGCTGTGGGTGTCTCATGCGGCTGCAGCCAGGATGTCAGCTAGGGTCACATCTCTTGAAGGCTCGCCTGGGGCTAGAAGACCTGCCTCCAGGGTGCATCCTCACAGCACTCTGGACATGGACCTCCCCAGGCTGCTTGGTGTCCTCGTGTCATTCAAGGTCAAGCGGGCCAAGACAACGAGCAAAAGGCAGAAGCAACATGGCTTTTAGAAGTCCGGTACTGGCCCTGCCTCTGTAAACCACCTGTGACATGTCAGGGGCACCGCAGGGCTTGAGGACGGGGTGAGGCTGGCTGCCCCCCGGGTGACCTGACACCCTGACGTCACTGCATAAGGCTAAGTGGGTGCTTCCAGACTGATCATTGAGAAACTCCGCTGCCCTCTGTCCCCATCTTTTGTTCTGAGATCTTGGTCATTAGATAAAGTGTAGCCAGTTGCTTGCTAATTTTACTCTGAATTGTGTTTTAAATTCTCAGATCGGTTGCTATCAAGGATTTGCTCTTGCGTGGAAATGTCTCCTGCATGGTGCCTCTGAGAAGGACAGGTAAGGGTGGAGCTTCTGCCTGTCCCATCGTAAGGGGCCAGGAGTTCTGGTCCTGTCGCTTGCTACCAGTGACCTCCTGTCTGCAATCTGTCTGTCTCCTCCTCTGTAAAAGCAGAGAAAATAATAACGTCAAACTTGAATGTTGTTGGGAGGTTGAAAGGAAATAATACATAGAAAGTGCTGGGTACATTTCAGGTATCCAGAGAACACCAGTGGTTGCTACTTCTCCAAGGGTGCCCACATTCTCCTGCTTTTACCAGGAGTCATGCGTGCGCCAGGTGGCTTTCAGATGCCCTGCTGATAAGACAGTATTACACTTGATTATTCTTCTTGTTCATCTTCCCTCTGGGCTTCTCATAAACGGGTTGCAATAGTCTGGACTCAGAAATGGTGACCCCATTGTCACCAGTGTTTTGTTTTGCTTTTTGACTTGGGATCTCCCTCTGTTGCCCAGCCTGGAGTGCAGCGGTCCCATCTTGGCTCACTGTAGCCTTTACCTCCTCAGTAGCTGGGACTACAGTTTGCACCTCCATGCCCGGCTAATCGTATTTTTTGCAGAGACGGGGCTAGTCTCAAACTCCTGGCCTTGAGTGATCCTCCTGCCTTGGGCTTGCAGAGTGCTGGGATCACCGGTGTGAGCCACCATGCCCTGCCAGTCACCAGTTTTTTAATATAGCTGAGTATGTTAACAAAATAATGACTCAATTTCTGGTAAGCACTGAGTGCATGTTGGCTCTCATTTGAATTGTTTTTAGCCTTTTCAGGCCATTCGTACTGTGTCCTGCCTGTGTAAGCCCCTTGTGGCCCCGTGTCACACATCTGTCTTCATACTTAAGCTGGAAGTGAACCCTCAGGTCACAGACAGAGGTGGCTGGACCTGCATTGTGCTCTGTGTCACACCTGGAGGCCATGCCTAGCACCCGGGGAAGGGGGTATGAGGAATGTGAGTGCAGGTGACTGTCTTTCAGCTGTCTAGAACACGGGCCATGGCCACATTCACATGTAAGTGCAAGCATGCTTGCACTGTTGTGGGTGGTTCTGTCTGCTGGTCTGCAGCGCGCTGGGGCGCGGTGAGGACGGCCAGCCGAGGGTCGCAGGGTTCAGGGAGCGGCCACAGCCAGGGTCTGATCAAAGGGACTGCTGGCTTCCTGTGCGGCCACCGGGGGGCAGTCAAAGCCGAGCTTGCCTCACTCCCCGTCGTCGCAAAAGGCCGAGGGCGTGTTCTTGGATGCTTGGAGTTCTCCCCTTCGCCCCAGCTCAGAGACGCTGGTTCGTGGCAGTGCCCACATGCGTGGGAACGGGCCGCACCCAGGAGGGGGCTGGCCCTGGCCCCAGAGCTGGGGCTTCCTGACTTCTCACGGCAGTACACCTGGTCTCTCAGCCGGCAGAGGAGGGGCTGCTTTGAATCGTGCGAGGCTGGGGGTGGGGGGGTGGGCCAGGACCCCTCCATCCCCTGCCTGCTGCACTGCCAGAGGCCTCTCTGGACCTAAAGCCTTTATCGGAGAGCAGCGGTTTGCAGGTGCTTGGATTTTATATGTCAGTGTGATTTTTTTTTTTTGAGTTGGAGTCTCACTGCCGCCCAGGCTGGAGTGCAGGGGCATGCTCACAGCCACCACAGGCTCGACCTGCTGGGCACAGGCGATCCTTTCGCCTCAGCCTTCCAAGTAGCTGGAAGCACAGGTGTGTGCCACCATGCCCGGCTCATTTTTTGATTTATTATAGAGACCAGGTCTTGCCAAGTTGCCCGGGCTGGTCTCGAACCCCTGAACTTAGGCAATCAATCCCCTCACCTCTGCCTCCCAAATTGCTGGGATGACAGGCTCGAGCCACAGTGCCTGGCCAACATTTTATTTTTACTTAAGATAAGCTAAGAAAAACACCTGCCATCTTGCCATCTGCACTGTGGTTCGTAAGAGAGTGGGCACTTGACTCCAGGGAACCCAGGGAGCACTGTGTCTCAGGCTAGTGATGGCGCTATCTGTCGAGCACCAGTAGCCTTCTGATAATCTCCACAGAAGCTTCTGTCCTCTCCTCCCGCAGCCTGGGCAGACCCCTTGCAGGCCAGCCCTGGCCGGGGCTGAGCTCAGGGCCCTGGTGCCCTGACTTCGCTGTCACAGCCGTGAGCTGGGCCCCCTCCTGCCGTGCGCCCATCCTGCCCTGGGTCTGGCTGGCGAGACCAGATGATTCCCGACTTGTGCAGCCGAAGGCGGGTGGTGCTCTCCGCGTCACATTAGGATACGGCTGTTCCTACATTTTGGCATCTGCCTTTGGTCTGCCTGGAAACCAGGTGCTTTGCTGCTAAAGCGGACTTGCTCTGACCTTTCACAGCTCTGTATTTTCTCAGAGGCGGCCATCGTGGCTCTTGTACATGGGTTTGCCCTGGTGAACTCACGCCTCTGGGTGTGCGGCTGCCCCGGCAGTGGCATCCACTCGGGAGGGCCTGGTTGCTGTGAGCTGTCTCTGACTCATCCTGGCCATCAGTCCTTCTCAAGTAGCTCACCTTCTGCCATTCGGATGTCAGTTGTGGGGGGGAGGCTGCTCCTCCGGGTCCCTTGTGGCTCCTTGAAAGACCCGTCCCCCCACCCTTGCACCCCCACAGGTGAAAGCCCTGGGGTTCAGGATCCGTGGCAGCGGGAGACACATTTGCTGAGCACCCGGTCTGCCCTGAAGTGCAGGTTCCACACGGACCACAGAATCCTCCTGAAAGCCTGCGATGTTGCTGTGACTTCCCTCCCCCCATTTTTTGAGTCAGGGTCTCACTCTGTTGCCCAGGCTGGAGAGCAATGGTGCCATCACAGTTCACTGCAGCCTCGACCTTCTGGGCTCAGGCAGTTGGTCCTTCCTCCTCAGCCTCCTGAGTAGCTGGGGCTACAGGTGCATGCCACCACACCCAGCTAATTGTTTTCTTTTTTTGTTTGTAGAAATTAGGTCTCACTATGCTGCCCAGGCTGGTTTCCAACTCCTGGCTCATGCTATCTTCCTGCCTCAGCCTCCCAAAGTGCTGGGATTACAGTAGATGTGAGCCCCTGCACCCAGTCTTTAAAAAACGAACAACAAGGCCGGGCTCGGTGGCTCAACCTGTAATCCCAGCACTTTGGGAGGCCGAGGTGAGTGG